ACGGTACTGAGGGCCCCGGGAGGCTTTGGGGATTACTTTAAAAGGGATGGTCTGGATTCGGTCCCGCAATTTTAGGGCCCCAAAACCAAAACACATTACAGAGGGTCACCCAAACATTGGCCATGTCCTGAATAAGGGGCGGCGAAAACACTTTAAAGAGGGTCCCAATATTAAACCGAGTGCAACATTAAGCACTAAACCCTAAATCCTAAACCCTAAACCCTAAATCCTAAATCCTAAACCCCAAATCCTAAACCCTAAATCTTAAACCCTACACCAGTTGGGCTGTGCACCCGCGCGCACTCGAATTGGACATGCATGGCATGCTTTTCTTATAGTACTTCTAGGGTTTAGGGTTTAGGGTTCAGTGTTTAGGGTTCAGGGCTTAGCGTTCAGGGTCTAGGGTTTAGGGTCCAGGGTTGAGGGTTTTATACTGCTTCTAGCAGTCAGAAGACTGATAAAGGTGATAAGAACATGAACAACCATGAGTGTGGCCGTAAGAACAACACTTAACACCTCATAACGACAATAACAAGGACAACAGCACAAAGAACAAGAACAGTCACATCAGCAATACCCAGGATGACAATCATATGCTAAACCCTAAACCCTAGTGATGTTGAAACACAAGGAGGCGGTCAAACCACAACTGACACCCACGTTCAATTTTCAACATCTGATTGTAGCTTGGCCCTTGCTTCTTGACAAACAGCCATCACATGAGGTTTCCCAAAATTCGTGACTAGCCTTTAGTGTATTAATATTGTTCCTATTATTGTTATTACTGCTATTTGTACTATTAATATTAAATTTGCTGGTAATGTATTCTTAGAAATATAAGTAGTAGTACTATTCATTACCCAAACCAGTTGCCAGCATTGCTTTGGCATAATTCCAAACCGCTTGCAGTTTTGATCGCTTACTTACTGGTGGTTAGTGAGGAAGAAGGGCAGAAAATCATGAGAGAATTCCAACATACTATAATCCCTTCTTCCCTACCAACCCCCAGCAAGCCAATTACCCTAAAACCTAAGCCCTCAGCCGCTTAGGCCGGCACAAAGCCCACTCAAGGGAGGTCAGATACTGCATCTCCACTGAAGCTCCATTTAGGCCCTTGGTGTAGACCCAGCCGTCCTGCGGGCAATACCTACCTTACTGGGGGTTAGTAGAGAATAAGGGATTACGGGCAACGTAGGAATATATAGGGGTTTAGGATATAGGGTTTAGGGTAAGTAGGAAATAAAGGAGTATAGTATGTAGGGAGCATATAGGGATCATATTTCCCACGAATCGCCAGTAAGCTACAGGCACGTGTCGCATGAAGCGATTGGACCATGATAGGTGCAACTCCAGCAAGTTGAAAGCCAAATGCGTGTCATCAAGTCAGCCACTAAAGTAGTTTTCATTTTCTTTCCCATTATCCCAATATAACCCCAGTATACTGTAGTAGTTTCCATGTTCTTTTCCATTGTCCCTATAGTATATTGGGGGTATATGGGGGGAGAATGGAACGGAAAATGGAAACTAAACCCCCAACACAGCGAACAAGAGGTGAGCAGCAATGCCTAACCTCTCACCACAACCTATAGTCACCCATTAAGTAGATGGCATATTGGGTTTAGGGTTTAGGGCTATAGTCCCCCTTAAGTAGATAGAATATGGGGTATATGGGGATCTTATTAAAATATACCCCAAGCCATACTCTATCTACTTAAGGGGGACTATAGGTGCTGCACTGCATCGGGCGTGCTCTTTTTAGTAATAGCTTGTTCCATTCCGAACGCTGCCACAAAGACAAGGCTCCTGGACGTCACCAACAGCAAACCTTAGATGATCCCCCAACCACTACCCAGACCCCCTAAAGGATCCAAAAAATGGAACCCCCTCAATTTGAACCCATTACTACATTGGGGAAACTAGGGGGTTATTTTGCGGTTCCATTTGTTGGATCCTTTAGGAGGTCTGGGTAGTAGTGGTCGGTAAGAAACGAGTAGGACGCTAACCTAGTCTAATCACCATTCCCGCTTGTGGTCACCATGAGTAGTTATCGATAGGAGACCAAGCCTGCGGCCGTTCTGAACTAGCCGACAAATTGATTGAGGAAGTCATTAATGCGGCTACAGGGGGAATGGGGAATAAGCGGACCTGGGACCTGTTGATATGTGAGGGTTACCTGGGGATTCTATCCTGTCCCTGGGGGATTCTGTAAGGGTTACAGTCCCCCTTCAGTAGATAGAATCTGGGGCATATGGGGATCTTGTTATAATATACCCAAAGCCATATTCCATCTACTTAAAGGGGATTATAAACCCTAAGCCCTAAATAGCAGTCTCCATTTCATTTTCCACTATCCCCCGTATAACCCCTATATTCTATCTACTCAAGGGGGACTAAAAGCCCCAAACCCTGAATAGCACAATAACAGTTTCCATACTATCCCCTACATAACCCCTATATTCTGTATTCTATCTACTTAAGGGGGACTATACTTTGAGAATTCTTGTACTCAGGCCAGGAAGCCAGATGCAGGAGAGCAGATGGCCCAGATAAGCGGTCAGAAAAGTCATCTTCCTAAGTGGGGTTTAGGGTTCTAGAAGTTTAGGGGTTTAGGATGTAGGGGTCTAGGGTTTCAGGGATTTAGGGGTTTAGGGGTTTAGGGTTTTAGGGGTTTAGGGTTTGGGAGTGGACGAAATGAGTGGTCCCTTTGTCGAATTCCCGGCAATACGGATTGGTTATATTATGATTATACAGGGGTTATATAGAGGGAATGGAAAAGAATATGGATACTACTATTTAGGGTTGTAGGGTTTTTGAGTTTATACGTAATTTGGGGAATTTGGGGTAGACAAGGGGACCCCGTTCTTCAAAACTCTCCGTATGGGCAATCTAATGACGCAAGCTGATGAGTGCTGAGATTGAAAGCTGGCAGTTGGCTTTACATGATATGGCAGTTTCCCAAGAATAGGGGCACCCCAATATGGGGGTTTCCAAATACAAGCGGCAACATTTTGGTGGTCCCTGTTATAAGGGTTATAGTCTAGCAATATTTTGCGGTCTACATTGAAATCCCCTATTTTGGGAAGCCACCATATAAACCCAAAAAAGGCACCTCATCTTGGGAACCCTCCGCCCCAGGTAAAAAGCAGGCGGCGCAATGTTGAACAGCACCAACACCAACTCGTGGTTGATTCCTTGGCATGGTACCCAGAAACCTCTCCAAAACGAATCACAGCTCTTTTTGTCTTTTAAACCCTAAACCCAAAACCCTAAATAGTAGTTTCCATTTCATTTTCCGTTTCATCTTCTTCCACTTCATTTTCCATTATCCCAACACAACCCCAATATACCCCTCTTTAATCCTTGTATATCCCTTTTGAACCTGTACGTTTGCAACTCTTGGTCCTAGCTGTTCGTCCTGCTTTCACAAGTTTCACTCCTGCACATCAACAGAGCTGGCACAGAAACTGGTCTCAATCCATAGGGGTTTAGGGTTCAGGGTTTGGCTTCCCCATTGGTAGACATGTTAGAAGGGAGTGGGGAGGTTTATCATGAGGGGATAGAAGCGGGTACGCGGTGTATCCTGGGGCACCCTCTTATCAGTAATAGTGACAAACAGGAATAGTGGGGATTATATATTTGAGACCTCATCTACTCCTACTATACCACTGTTACACCAAACCCTAAACTCTCAACCCTAAACCCTAAACCCCAAACCCTAAACCCCAAACCCTAAACCCTAAGCCCCAAACCCTAAACCCCAAACAGGTTGGGGGTCCACCTAAAGTGCATCAGTCTGCAAGTAAGCTACTCGAGGAAAGCACCTGAAGCACCTGCAGGAGCTTTGCCAACCTGGCAGGGCTGCATCGGTTCAGGTTTAGGGTTCAGGGTGGAGGATTTAGGGTTGAGGATTTAGGGTTGAGGATTTTGGGGTTTGAGGATTATGGGTTTGAGGATTTTGGGGTTTGGAGTTGAGGATTTAGAGTTTGGGGTTGAGGATTTAGAGTTGAGGATTTAGAGTTTGGGGTTGAGGATTTAGGGTTCCCCCCAACGCCTAGGGTTTTCCCACAGCCCGGGTCTCATCGACCGCGTCAAGTTTGGCTCGGCTTGGAAGTTTAGGGGGGCGGGGTGGGGGGGATAATTACGGCCCCTTGAGCTGCAGCCATCTCAATCTGTTTCACGCAGTATTTCGGGAACCCAAAAACACCGCGTTCATGTTCGAGAGCGTCCAATCACCAAAGCATCCATGCCCAAGCCATAATGACGTTCATGTTCGAGAGTATCCCAGTACTAGAACTAATATGTGCACTCAATGGAGACAGCTTGACCAACATAATTTTAAAAAAAGGTGGAAAAAAGGTTAAAAAAGGTAATCCAAAAAGGTAAAGGTAAAAAAAGGTAAATCGTGGAACATTAAGAAAGGTTTAAAAAAAAGGGTAAACCGGGTAGACAAAGGTAAAAGAAAAATGACATTTTACTACTTTTTTTGACCTTTACCTTTTTGGATTACATTTTTTTTTACATTTTTCCACCTTTTTGTTAAAAAAATCATCTTTTCCTGCGTCTCCATATGAGTGCACATTATAATACTAGAACATCCGTGCCCAAATTATTAAAACGCTCATGTTTGAGAGCATCCCATTACCAGACCATTCATGCCCAGGCCATAATAACCTTAAGTACCAAGAAACACTGCGCCCAGTGGGACGAAGTCTATGTCCTTTCCGGGAGCCCTGATGCAAAAACACCGCGCATAGTGGGACGGAATGCATATCATATACAGCTTCTGAGCGCGCGAACACCGAAAAAAGCCTGACTATCACCGCTGTGTTTCGTTTGCTACACCCTTTTCGACATGCAAAATGCAGTACTTTTGAACAGGGTCTAAGGTCTAAATGTGGCACCTTCGCACTTTCTGAACATAAAGCCCGCATGGATCTTCCGGAGAACCCCTTCCATTGCACGTCTGGGTTTAGGGTTGAGGGTTTAGGGTTGAGGATTTAGGGTTTAGGGCTGGGGGTTGAGGATTTAGGGTTTAGGTTTTTAGGGTTGAGGATTTAGGGTTTAGGATTGAGGATTTAGCGTTTAGGGTTGAGGATTTAGGGTTTAGGGTTTAAGGTTTAGGAATTAGGGTTGAGGATTTAGGGTTTAGGGTCCAGGTTTTAGGGTTTAGGGCTGAGGATGTAGGGTTTAGGGCTTGAGGTTTAAGGTTTTGGATTTAGGGTTTTGGGTTTAGGGTTCAGGCCGCCAGGGGATCATGTGGTGATCATGTAGAAGTTCTGGAAGAATCCGATCCACTTGCATGCTCCTTTGACCGCCCTTGCCGTCCGGGCCAAAGATTAAGTTACGTACCCCAAACCTTGAACCCTTCACCCTAAACTAGGCCTTAGGGCTTAGAGTATTGTACTCAAAACAACGGAGAATTTGATGGAATAGCTGCGGCTTAGACAATAGGGATTGCCACATTGCGACCTAAACCCTAAACCCTGAGCCCTAGACCCTAAGAAGCCCTAAACCCAAAACCCTAATCTCTGGGAGGTGTTTGGTAGCCAGGCCCCTGCCTCAGCAAGCGCAGGAACCGCACCAATCGAAGTAAACGGCCAGCCCGCACTGCTCGAAGGAGGCCTGCGCCAAAAGCACAGAAAACCCAACCATGGGTCTCTCTCCTTGCTGAGTGTTGGTAGGAGATCAGGAATATGTAAGTATGTACATATACATATGAATCTGCATATGTATATACATGTGTATATAGATATACATATATACATATAGGGTTTAGGGTTGGGGGCCTTGAGGGTTTAGGGTTAGTAGGGAATTAAGGAATAGATTCTGTAGGCATTATATAACCTTTATCCCTACGAAGCACTCGTGAGTTTGTGTGTCTCTCGCTCTCTATGTACATTTCTGTGCACAACCAGTTCAGAAACAGCGCGAAGTGTCCTCATGAAAGAAGACTGCCTCTCAAAGGTCTTGGTCTGAGTGGGAACCCTTTGTCCCATGCAACCCCTACATAAACCCAATGATCCCTATAGTTTCCATTTTCATTTTCCATTATCCCTATATAACGCCGATGAAGCTTACCACGGGAAGCCACGCAGCGCACCTATGCTGTCTGTGCTGGCCGCAGAATCCGAATCCATATCTCCCTCCAGTATTGTCACGATGTCCGGGATCAGAACCAATATGTCAAAACCTGTCATTCAGGCTCAAGCGCTCTGCATGCCCTGGTCAGTGGAACTTGATGCCACACCATTGGCCAAGCACGAACATCTTGCAACTTAACATGCATCAGAGGCCCACTCTGGCCGTATCTATCACAGTGCGACTGGTTTCCACTTTATTTTCATTATCCCAAAATGACCCCAACATACTATCGTAGTTTCTTCCAAAAGCTGCGTCTGATGCTACACAGCATAACGGTCAAGGCTGTTCCAGTCAAGCAGCATAGCCAAGAGCGAGCATATGCCCGGGCGATGCTCCTGTAATCCAATTGCAGCGCACCGTTCACGTAGACTGCCGTCAGAAAGTTGGTAGGGATGTCAAGCAACCTGATGTAACCCCAATATAGGGTTATATAGGGATTGGAAAATGAAATGGAAACTATAGGGATTATTGGGTTGAAATAGGGGTTATACAGGGATCATATATCATACTAAGGTAGGAAAAGGGATGTCAAGCAGCCTGACGCGGGCTAACAAGTGTGCAACGAAGGTGCCCAAAGGCTCCTGAATTTGCCGCTCGCGCATGTTGAGAGAAACGTCTCTCCCCTCTGGCAAGCTTCACACAGAGATTGCCATGGAAAGAGTAATTAACCCTAAACCCTAAACCCTAATTAAACCCAAAGGTGTCAGAGCTCTGAATACTGGAACATGGGATGCCAGAGTGTCGGCTTTTCAGGGGTTGGCAGTAGATATGAGCGACAGTCTAAACTCCCAGTATCACCCTTAATAAGCCCCTAAAATATTCCCTTATTTAACCCTCTTTATGGAGTTTGCTATTGGTGCTTAAGGGACAGTCGGGGAGTGGATCCCTATAATAATCCCTACATAATCTCCAGATAGACCCCCCATAATGGTACCTACATTCACCTCCCCACTCCCCTTAACGGTGTTTCCTGCCAAGCTTCCAGAACAGAGTAGTGAAGATTTGCAGGGCCCTCTGGACATCCAGTAGCGATGAACTCAGGTGGAAAACCTGGCAAAGGTTGCCCATTAAGGGCTCCCCCAAAATAGGGCTACCCCTCATAAACCCCCCATATACCATAAGCTCCCTATTGGAAGGATCCCCCGAAAGGCATTTGAAACCCTCATATTGCGCGGGATAACAAGCAAAAAGAAAAAAAGTAGCAGTGTCCAGGGCTTAGGGCTCAAGGGTTTAAGAGTTTAGGGTTTAATTGTTTGAGGGTTTGAGGGTTTAGGAGTGTAGGGGTTTAGGAGTGTAGAGGTTTAGGGTTT